CGGGCGGTGGAGGCGGCGGCGGCCGCGGAGGGACGATGCGCGAGTACAAAGTGGTGGTGCTGGGCTCGGGCGGGGTAGGCAAATCCGCCCTGACCGTGCAGTTCGTGACCGGCACCTTCATCGAGAAATACGACCCCACCATCGAGGACTTCTACCGCAAGGAGATCGAGGTGGACTCGTCGCCGTCGGTGCTGGAGATCCTGGACACGGCGGGCACCGAGCAGTTCGCGTCCATGCGGGACCTGTACATCAAGAACGGCCAGGGCTTCATCCTGGTCTACAGCCTCGTCAACCAGCAGAGCTTCCAGGACATCAAGCCCATGCGGGACCAGATCATCCGCGTGAAGCGGTGAGCGGGCCGGGGCGCGCGCAGGGGCTCGGCGGCTGCACCAGGAGTCGGCGTCCCGTGGCTGGAGCTCCGCGCCGGGCGGGGGGTGGGGGAGCTATCTAGGGAGATGGCTTTGAGCTTTGGGTTTTGCCATTGTCAACGTCCTCCTCTTCCTGAATCTCTAACTCGAGTGCTTTGTTTCACAACTAAAATTTGGCATCTCTTTAGCCCACAGCTCAGCTCTTTGTCTCTTGGATATTATTAGTAGCGCTTGTCCAGAACCTCAAAGCACACAAAGTTTAAAACTTACAGGGAGAAAAGGAGTGGGTAGGTTTGTGCTGGGAAGAGGGGGGCTGTACAACAGAATCTTCCTTTGCAATGTTTGACAGCAGAAATTGTTCACATCTGTACTGTAATAATGTCAATTCAAGAGGAGAGAGACCCTCTCATCCCATAAAAGAATTAATAGTGCCGAGGCTTTTACACAAATGAACTCTCTAATTTAGTGTAAAACTTTCAAGACAGATTATCAAATGATTTGAATACGTCATAACAGCGCAGTGGGATTGCGAGATTATTAGCATATAGGAGCACAGATATGCAATTCACATTAAAAGAATGTGTCTTAACTTTGTTTTTAGATCTGACTGCCTTATCCGCCCCAAAAAATTTTTTAAAAAAAAGCCTTCTTCGAAACAGAACAAGTTTCTTCAAAGGCATGACTCAAGTATTAGCTAATTTAAAGTCGATGCAAATAAGCTCTTTCCTGATACAAATTTTTTTTTCTAAAGTATATAATTTGGAAAAATGGTTGATATCATACATAGTTTGAAATATTTCATTATTTTTTTCTTAAATTGGCCATTTTTCCTAATTTCAAGCATTAGAAATGTAGCATCTTAGTTCCACGTTTTGGCACATCGTTCTAATATTATTTAATGACACCTTACTGTTTTGCCTCTCTCGTAATTAATGCTAGCTGGTAATTTTAATGTCTTTTTTTCTCCCTTCTTCTACTGACAGCCTTAAATTTGAAAACATTTACTGATAGACAGTTGTAAATTTATTGTAGGCACAATTATAAGTCAGATTGAGTCTACTAAATTTGAAGGACCCAGTGATGTTTACCCAAAGGATGCTCAGAAATTCATTACAAGTGGTGGATTTTGGATACAACATGTGAGAGCAAAGGGAAGGCCCTCTAACTATTGTCCTCTCCACTGGGTATGCACTTTAAAAGCTAAACTGAAATTTTGTGTGTTCTTTCTTGCATTAAATTTCAACCTAGAATAAAGTACTCTCATGGCCTTTACTGCTCTTCTAAGATCATTGAATCTGATAGGTTTTCACTTTTCCAGTCTCATTTTCTTAAGGTTAAATGTTTACAGTTAAAGCGATGAAAAGTTTGGTGTTAGACTTTGCTACATATATGTCATTTAAGGTGGCTACATTAAATCCTTACCCTCTCTGCCAATACCACTCAATAAAAAAGAAAAAAAAGATAAACAAAATGTAGAACAGAGTAGTTTCATACGTTGTCACATGTCAATTTCAAGTTGAAAACATGCAATCAGATAATAATCCCAGTAAGTGTTTCAACTGCCCTACCCTTCACATTTAAATATATACATAAAGGACATAAATACCCATGCATACTTTCATAAAGTCATATTCACTCAGGACTGACTTCTTGAAACAAGCCTAGGGAACAGAATATGGGAAAATACCATTGGATACTATGGGCTACATAATTTCATAGTCTCTTATGTTTAGTACAGATTATTTTTCTCAATTATAATAGTTTAATTAGTTTAAGTGTGATGTACTGAAACAGCTTACTTGTGCCACAATCCAGGGGGAAGAAAGAAGTTAAATTCTCCTTGCCTAGATATTATTTTACTTACTGGTCTCAGTTCTTCATGGAAAAAGACCATTGGATCAGCCAAAGTCAAGTTTATAAACCCTTTTCTCTGGCATTTTACCATTGTACACTCAAGAACCACTGGGGCCCTTACTTCTATGTCCTATTATTTTATACTTGACCTCACCCTCATCCTATGGGTTCCCAGTCTATAGCATATCAAACAACATGCTGAAAGGGAGAGAGGATCTGTGCATATTATATATATTATAATACAATGTATAACACATATATTAAGCTAAAGCAGAAATTCTTTAACTCCTACCACTTAAGAAAAGTAAAATATGATTTCAAGTAAGTGAATGTTCTACTCTTTTGGGGACCAATTTTTAAATTAATGAGTTGCTATTGAAATTTTTTAGTAATTGTTCTTCCCTCTTAACCCATTGTGTGTCAGCTAAGCTGCATTTCATATTATATCATATTATATCTCATAAGTATTATGAGATATATTTAAATAGTTACTATCATAATAACGCAGGTGACATGACTGCAGAGAGACTTGGTACCTCATCCAAGACCAGTCATTGATGAAGAAGTTTTGTTTTTTTGATTTTTTAGAGGTTTTTTGCCATAGGGCGTGTGCACTCAGTGGAGAGATTGTAACTAAGATGTGTGAGTGTCACCTTCTTTTCTTCTGTACCAGTCTGTCTTTCAACTTTGTATTTGCTGGCAAATTCAATATCCAGTCTTTGGTCAAGGTCAGTGCTATTAAATAGAAACATAATTCAAATATATTAATAGAAATATAATGCACACATGAATTTTAAAAATTCTAGTAGCTGATTTCACAAAATAACATAAACAGATGAAATCAGTTTTAATAATATGTTTTTTAACCCATGATATCCAAAATATTATCACTTCAACATGCAATCAATACTCAAGAGGTATTAATGAGTTATTATACTTTCTTTTTCATACCATGTCTTCAGAATCTGGTGTGGATTTGACATTTGCAACACATCTAGGTTCAAACCAGCCACATTTCTAGTGCTCAGTAACCACATATGTAGCCACAGGCTACCATATTGGACAGCGCAGGTCTGAGGTGTATACTGTTTAGGAAACACTTCTCTAAACCTCAGCTTCCTTGTCTGAGAAATAGCAGAGCTTACCTCTCATAAAGTTATTGTTAGAATTAAAGTGAGAATGTATTTTAAGGTACCCAGCACAATACCTGTACACAGATGTTGTTCAAGAAATTCTAGCTGTTCTTTTATTAAAAACAACTGGGGATCTCCAGATGGCATGGTGGTTAAGGCACTGGACTCCCACATGGCTAACCTCAATTCAAGTCCCAGTCCTGCAGGCTTGAAACTCAACGCCAAGTGCGTGTGTGTGCATGCCCAAAAATCCCAAGTGGAGAATAGAGAAGAGAGGATTGCAGCACGGCCATCGCCCCTGGAGTGTGATTTCTCACTTACCTCTCACTTTTTCTCTCTCTGTCTCTGGCAAATACACATACCCCTTGGTGAAAACCTTTAAAAATAAAATAACTTCATTACAGGCCAGCGGGTAGCGTGGTGGTTACCTTACTGGACTCCCACATGGCTGACCGCAGTTCAAGTCCCAGACCCAATGGCTTGAAAATCACTTTGAGTATGTGGGCATGTGTGCCCAAATCCTGAGGAGTGCAAGCATACGCAACATATGACAAAAGCCTACAAACAAAACAAACTTTGTCATCTTAACTTATTCTTAATATGAATCTTATTAGAGGAAAAAAGTCTGTAGTTGCATTTTGGAATTTACCTAGTGTAGATAAGATGATACCAAGAAGTGATTAGGATTAAAACAATCCTTTGAAAAATTTTGTTGATATCCTTTTACAATGTTTTCCCTTATAAAGAGTCTTTGGAAAACAGCAAGAGACTGGACATTCATGTACAGCACTAACTGATATCTATAGAGTTTTTCAATGGGTTATTATTTTTTGTAATGTTTTGCTTTTAAAAATTATAAAAGTGGCCCATATTCCCATAGGGGTTTATAAGTACATACCAATGTATAGATGCATGCACAACTTCTTGTCAAAGCCAAGTGGACCAACTAAAAGTAGTTATATTTATGAGTTCATATGTTTTATTTTTCCAACCTTTTGGTGAGTCACACATACAAATAAGAGTGAGAAGAATACAGAATGTTTCTTTTTTTGGGTTTTCACCACAGGGCCGTGCACTTGCCAGAGACAGAGAGAAAGACAGTGAGAGGGGAAGTGAGAAGTCATCCCCCAGAGGGGATGGCCATATTGCAATCCCCTCTTCATTCTCCTTCTGGGATTTTGGGCATGCATACGCATGTTCTCAGCGTGATTTTCAAACCGCCAGGTTTGGGACTCAAACAATGGTCAGCCATGTGGCAGTCCAGTGCCTTAACTGCCACACCACCTGCTGGTACCCAGAAAAGATTTCAGTCGAATTACAATTCTTTCAGATTTTGTAATTGTGTCTATCATATTTACCCGTCCCAGGGTTAGCTATGGTCCTACTTGAAGTGCCTTGGAACATGATAGCAAGGAGGTATGTTTTCAACATCCCAGTGCCCAGTGTGTTTTAACTCTCCCTGCCTTTACAGCCTTAGCTCTCACAACCTCCCCTTTTCCATTTTATTTCAGCACTCAGAACTCACTTTAGCTCTGCAAAACTATCGTTTTCTGGGCTCTCCTTCTACCTTTAGATATCATCTACGTTTTTGCAGTTAATTCCTGCTCCTTCTTTTGTCCCTGCTTAAGAGAGTTTTTCCCCCCACTTAGGGAAGCTCTCTCTGTCTTCTCAAACTGTATTAGCTCCTTCCCCGTCTACCCACGGTGCACTTTACCCTTACCCTCAGCTGCATGTACTGAGATGCCAATGCACTGTTCTTTCACTTTTCTTTATAGCATTCATCAAAATTTTATTAATTGTATGGTAATTCACATGCAGTCTTTCTCATGATGCCTTAAGTCCATGTATCTAGCACAGCTTCTGACACATATCAAGAAAAATATGTTGAAAGTCTATGTTCAGAAAGAAATGTGTTTGTATTGTCCTTTGGCCTCAGTTTCCTCAGACATTTTGATTTTATAGATGGAAGAGAACCCCCCCCACCACTTTGCTAT